AGAAACTCCTGTGGAAGAATCACCCGAAGAAGTGAAAGAAATGCCGGAAGAGGTTCGTATTGTTGAAACCATCTCTGAAGACGGCAAACCGAAGAAGAAGAAGATCCGTACGCGTGTCATCAAGAAGGTAAAGGGTGACAAACAAGAGGTCACCAAGATCGAAACCGTCGAAGAAGATGACAAACAGCCAGAAACAACTGTCACATTTGAAGAAATTCCTATCGAGGAAGCTCCCGAACAAGTCAGAGAACTGCCGGAAGAGGTTCGTATTGTTGAAACCATCTCTGAAGACGGCAAACCCAAGAAGAAAAAGATCCGTACTCGTGTCATCAAGAAGGTAAAGGGTGACAAACAAGAGGTCACGAAGATCGAAACCGTCGAAGAAGATGACAAACAGCCCGAGACAACTGTCACAGTTGAAGAAACTCCTGTCGAAGAATCACCAGAAGAAGTGAAAGAAATGCCGGAAGAGGTTCGTATTGTTGAAACCATCTCTGAAGACGGCAAACCCAAGAAGAAGAAGATCCGTACTCGTGTCATCAAGAAGGTGAAGGGTGGAAAACAAGAGGTCACGAAAATCGAAACTGTCGAAGAAGATGACAAACAGCCCGAGACAACTGTCACAATTGAAGAAACTCCTATCGAGGAAGCTCCCGAACAAGTCAGAGAAATGCCGGAAGAGGTTCATATTGTTGAAACTATCTCTGAAGACGGCAAGCCAAAGAAGAAGAAGATCCGTACTCGTGTCATCAAGAAGGTAAAGGGTGACAAACAAGAGGTCACGAAGATCGAAACCGTCGAAGAAGATGACAAACAGCCCGAAACAACTGTCACAGTTGAAGAAACTCCTGTCGAGGAAGCTCCCGAACAAGTCAGAGAAATGCCGGAAGAGGTTCGTATTGTTGAAACCATCTCTGAAGACGGCAAACCAAAGAAGAAGAAGGTCCGTACTCGTGTCATCAAAAAGGTAAAGGGTGACAAACAAGAGGTCACGAAGATCGAAACCGTCGAAGAAGATGACAAACAGCCCAAAACAACTGTAACAGTTGAAGAAACTCCTGTTGAGGAAGCTCCCGAACAAGTTAGAGAAATGCCGGAAGAGGTTCATATTGTTGAAACCATCTCTGAAGATGGCAAACCAAAGAAGAAGAAGATCCGTACTCGTGTCATCAAGAAGGTAACGGGTGACAAACAAGAGGTCACGAAGATCGAAACCGTCGAAGAAGATGACAAACAGCCCGAGACAACTGTCACAGTTGTAGAAACTCCTGTCGCAGAACCACCAGAAGAAGTGGAAGAAATGCCGGAAGAGGTTCGTATTGTTGAAACCATCTCTGAAGACGGCAAACCCAAGAAGAAGAAGATCCGTACTCGTGCCATCAAGAAGGTGAAGGGTGGCAAACAAGAGTTCACGAAGATCGAAACCGTCGAAGAAGATGATAAACATCCCGAGACAACTGTCACAGTTGAAGAAACTCCTGTCGAAGAATCACCAGAAGAAGTGAAAGAAATGCCAGAAGAGGTTCGTATTGTTGAAACCATCTCTGAAGACGGCAAACCAAAGAAGAAGAAGATCCGTACTCGTGTCATCAAGAAGGTAAAGGGTGACAAACAAGAGGTCACGAAGATCGAAACCGTCGAAGAAGATGACAAACAGCCCGAAACGACTGTAACAGTTGAAGAAACTCCTATCGAGGAAGCTCCCGAACAAGTCAGAGAAATGCCGGAAGAGGTTCGTATTGTTGAAACCATCTCTGAAGACGGCAAACCCAAGAAGAAGAAGATCCGTACTCGTGTCATCAAGAAGGTGAAGGGTGGCAAACAAGAGGTCACGAAGATCGAAACCGTCGAAGAAGATGATAAACAGCCCGAAACAACTGTCACAGTTGTAGAAACTCCTGTGGAAGAATCACCCGAAGAAGTGAAAGAAATGCCAGAAGAGGTTCGTATTGTTGAAACCATCTCTGAAGACGGCAAACCCAAGAAGAAAAAGATCCGTACTCGTGTCATCAAGAAGGTAAAGGGTGACAAACAAGAGGTCACGAAGATCGAAACCGTCGAAGAAGATGACAAACAGCCCGAGACAACTGTCACAGTTGAAGAAACTCCTGTGGAAGAATCACCCGAACAAGTCAGAGAAATGCCGGAAGAGGTTCATATTGTTGAAAGCATCTCTGAAGATGGCAAACCAAAGAAGAAGAAGATCCGTACTCGTG